TGAGATCATGACCTGAGCCAAAGTCAGATGCTTAACCGACCGAGACACCCAGGCACCCCAACTCTTTTCTTAAATAAGGAATATATTAGCGGTCTTCTCCATCTTGAGGGGAACAAATGAAATGACACTTATGAAAATACATTGAAAACCACAATAAATCATGAATAGCAGCAGGGAGGCTGAGTGCTGTGGATACATTAGGGAAACATTAAACTCTAGGAGAGGAAGCAGGAAGCAGGAGCCATGGGACACAATCTGAGCCTGGGAAGGGGCCCTGAGCAATAGCTAGGATGGGAATGGGAAGCAGGTGTAGACAGAGGAAGAACAGGCATATGTGGGCATCAGAAGGAGGCCCAGGGATTAGAGGTGGACTCTGCTACCTGGTAATCTTCCCGAGGGTTCGCTGCCTATCTGTGATGCATGTTTCCCAAGATTTTCTGTAGAAAACGTGGAAACAAAATTCTGCCATATTAGTTGAAGAAATAAAAAATTCAAGTCACAGAAACTTGGGATGTCCTCCTTTGACTTTACCACACCCACATCTTGGTCTCAGGAGGCAGGCTTCACGAGCTTCATCTCTTGCACGGAGGAAGGACAAGAGGTTCACTGGACAAAAGGGACATGTCAAAGTGAGGCCAATCTAACCTCTGGGACAATGAGAAAGCGCAGTAGGCTGAGATCCTAAAGCCAAGGAGGTTGAGCGAGAACAACCATGGCCTAGGATTCAGGAGCATTCAGGATCTCTGAGTTCTAGATCCAATGGCGCCACCAGTCACGGACCTCTCTGCGCTTCAGCCTCCCTGTTTGTAATGTGTGGATACTGGGATCAGCTGATTCTTTCCCACCCTGACACTCCCCTCTCCCCCCCCCCCCCCCCCCCCCCCCCCGCCATAGGGCACCCCCATGTGGTGAAGATGGTTAAAGGGTTGTTATAGGGGAATGAAGACCTGGAATGGAGAAAGAGATTCTAACAAAGATGCAAAGAGAAAAGAGGTACAGGAAAGAAAGAGAGAGGATGTCTACTCTTAGTGAGCAGAGGCTGTGTCCTGGCTGGCTCCGCTTCTGGGAGGCCACTTGATGGTCCAGGGACAAATGCCAAGACGCAATTAGACTGAGACAGGAGAAGGACTCCACTTCATGCTAAGCTCTTTGAGGCTCATCTTTATCCCCCAGCAAACCTAACACAAGATGAGTAAATGAATGGAATTTGCTCAGTGAATAGGAACATTATGCCTCAATAAAGTCATCCAGTGATTAGCAACAAAATCCTATGTGGTTCGGTAATACTGAAGCATGTGCCTATCAGTGTCAAGTTCCAACAAACCAAGGCCCTTGGCTATCACCGTGAGTAGAGCTCACCCCAACCCATCGCTTGAAAGATGGAGAGGGGTGCCTGGCTGGCTCAGTCCGTTAAGCATAAAGCATTTGTCCGACTCTTGGTTTTGGCTCAGGTCATGATCTCATGGTCCATGACATCAAGCCCTGCACCGGGCTCTGTGCTGACAGCACAGAGCCTGCTTGGGATTCTTTCTCTCCCCCTCTCTCTCTCAAAATAAAAAAATAAACTTAAAAAAAAAAAAAAAAAAGAAAGAAAAATGGAGAATATGGGGCCTAGGCAGGGTAAGTGAGGTGCTGAAGCCCTGTAAGAGCAGGCATGTGATTGGAATGTAGATCTCACTGCCTCCCAGAGAAGACGAAATAAAGAAACACAGATGTAAGAAACAAGACACTGTCTACTTTCATGACAAGAAGGGTGATAATAGTTGCAAATATGGAGAGGAGCCTTGCAGGTGAGAGATGCAGGTTAGATGCCCTCTGTGTCCTCAAAGTAAAGGGAAATGGGTTGTTGAAAAAACAGAAGACTGTGGTCAGGCAGGCAGAAATGCCTGCGTGTTAGGGATCCAACTACTTTGCTGAAAAAAGCCATTACTTAATAGTGACCTTTTCCAACTGCAATTCTCTTGAATACTCAGTTATCAGGATTCACAAAGGTTAGCTGCAAGAATCTTTGTGTTAATAAATACCACGTGGAATTTTTTCAAGCCGCAATTCTTTGTTTAAACATCATATTTCTTCCTCATGGAGAGCAGAAATTTATGCTGCTATTTATGTCTAAAATAACATCACTTCTGTTAATAAACAGATCCTTTAAAAAAAATAGAAATCAAGCATTTGAAGGCTCTCAAGGGTTATTCCTGCAGACATCCCCTCCATGCAACCAAAAGGACCCAAGGCTAGTAAGATATGCAGTAATTATAACACGTCTGGCCAAGAGACGTCCTTCTGTGTGTAAATATTTTATGGGGCAGCGCCATGCAATGGCACCTACGGAGTAAAGTATTGCCTCAGTGAGCCTCAGGGAATCTTAACCACTTCTCATTAATCAGCCTCTCTTAACTTTCTGTACCTAGAATGCTGTTTCAAGAAACCAAAAGCCACTAAAAAATGAAAACATCCCTGAAAGATGGTATTAACGCTATTTACACTAAGAGGAAGCATTTCTGCGGTTTCAAATGCAGCATGCATGATAATCAAAAACCTTACCTTGATGACCTGTTGGGGCAGAAGCAACAAGTCTAAAGAGAAATCACAAGTAACATCCACTCTACTAAGCTGTTAAAAAGATACTCCATTTTACCTCGTGCTCTGGGGTAGGAGATGGCGTTACAGAACTAAGTGACCCTTTTCTAGAACCATGGAGATCTGCGGGGGTGGAGACAGGGCGCTCCCACTGAGTGGTCCCTGTTGGTATGTGCCAATAATAGGTCCCAGCGACGTCAATGATTCTCTTCCAGCCTGGCGGCAAATCCGGATCGGTCTGAAAGGAGTGATCACTCCATATATCTGCTGGGAAATGGAAAATAAGAGGGTTTTATTAAAAGCGAAACAATTACAGTGTTCCAATTTCACCCCTAAGAGTTTGGAGAATGCCACAGGCAGATGCGTCCACAGCACTAATGAGAACTAAAGACATCCTATGGACACAGAGTATGGTAAAGGGGACGATAATGGAAAGAAACAAGAGAAGAACTGGAAAAGAAGAAGGACACTTGAGAACACAGACATTAAGGACCCGTCATCAAGTCATCTTACAGCTTCAAGACTCCTGTGAACAACTTAAAAGCTCCATTAGCCGAAATCAACGACCCAAGCAAAATTCGCAAGGTTACAGGCAAAATCTACTGACTCCTTTATCAATCAGGAAGATTTACTGGTTGGCATCTTATACCATTTTCAGCAATGGGTGGAACTCTTCTTTTCTTTAATCACTTTCCATAAATGAGTACTGTATTTATAGCTTTGCTTTTACAACTCCTCCCATTTGACTGTCCACATCTACAAAGTAGCAGTGTCTTTTCTAACACTCTACAATTCGAAATTGTGCACAGAAGATTCCTAAGGAAGGCAGACTAGAAAATCCCTGGAATTCAAGAAGGGACCAGACCGACTATAAAAACAGGTCATGAAGGAGGGTGAGTGTGAAATATGACAGAGAATGGTGGGGACTGTGGCGAAATGGAAAGCATGTGCGAAGTCCAAAGGCATTCAAATTAAAAAAAAAAATAATGTGTTATATTATGTATGTGTATAGCAGGGGGAGTATGTGTATAGCAGGGGGAGTAAAATACACATGTTGGGCAATTTCAGCGATCCCTGGCCTGTATCAATATTTTATCAGTTTACTGGGTAATTATTTGCTTTTTTAAAATCTCATTTTGGCCTTCTTTGAGTTGAATATGAAATGAGTGGGCAAGAAAAGAGGAGAAAGAAGGAAGCAGAGTAGGAAATCCATAAAGAAGGAGCCACCGTGGAGAAATCACAGGTAGCTGTATCAACATATGTACACATATAGGTAGTGAAACTTCAGAAACTTGTGCTTTAAATCTGAGGATCGCTTTTTTTCTAAGGATGAGACCTATGGGGCCACTCGTCAGAGGAGAAGCACGTGGGCTTTGCTCTGTGCAAATGCCATTGCATCACGTGGGCAGGCGTCACTGACTGTTACAGCAACAACAAGAAAAAAAGGAACCAAACAAAGAGGTTGATTAAGACTATGGGCACAGATGCGCATTCATGCGGTGGTTTGGCATCCCAGCATTCACTTTTCTCATTTAAATCTGCCAGGGGCAAAACTGCCACTTGTCTCAAATTATGATGGACATTCCCCCTCCCCCTACAGGAAATTAAGCATGATTACATAATTTCAACTTAACTAAAATTTTCAGAAACAACTTGAAACAAACATGTATACACTCCTTTGTCCTGTTTCCTTTTCAGTGGTGCATAGGGGTTGTTTTTAGCATTTCAAGTGGGACAGGAAAAATAAAATACACAGTTCTCTGGATTAAGTTGGGAGAAAAACCTTGTCCCATTCTAGTGGTTTACAGAACCAAGCTTTGCGGCTTGAAACTCTTGAAAGGGCATAAAGAGGCTGCTAGTTACCATTTCTGTGGTTTTTGAGGTCTGAGGGTCTGAGTTTACACATTTATCCTTGTTGTCTCTACAGTTGGGACATAAGCACATAGGCAGGATACCACCTTCAGAATATGGAATCATGTTGGACCAAGGACAGAAAGCAACATCAGTGGCCTTTGGGTTTGGCTGTCTATCCAGAACCTTGAAGGCAGCAGAAGGGCTCTGGGCTGCCTAGCGCTCTTCTGTCTGCAAACAGACCTACCTGCCTATATTTGGTTTATATTCTGAGGCTCTGCTGAGATTTTGTTGGAATTAAAACAAAAAGGAGATTTCTTCTGGTGCTAAAAATTGATGATGATGTGATTATGATAGAGGAAGTGAGGTCGGCACATTGACAGTATTATTAACAGTTCCAGAAACATGTATAGAATCCCTTCCACATCATCCCACACTGGGTTTTAAGGGATGTAAGCCCTTAAATGAGGACAAAGACACATCATATCTGTCTTGTTCATCATCATATTCCCAACACCTAGAATGGCAGGTGTTCAATAACAGTGAGTTGGATGGATAGACGGTGGATGGATGGAAGGAACGAAGGAAGGAAGAATTAAGAAGGAGGGAAAAATAAATGACTGAATGAAGTCTTTGAATGGTGGGAATTGGAACTTAGCAAAAGAAGAATTCTGAAGAAATCAGTTCTGTGCAGTTTCACAAAACAGAGCAATTTCACAACCCCCAAGAATAGCAATGTCTACTTTCCTTGATGGTGTATCTGAATGTTCTTATGGATAAAAGGAAACATAATATGACAAATTGGAAAGAGTCCTGGGCTGGTGGCCAAGAGACTCTAAGTTGAGATTTTGGTTCTTTTTTTTTTTTTTTTTTTTTTTTTTTTTTTTTTTTATTGATAGGTACCACAGGGAACACGAAGAAATATTCTGAGGCACCTCGGCCTCATTACATTTCCTTTTGTTTAATCTTGTTAGCCCCCAATTTCCTTTGTTTTCCTACGTAAAATTAGGTACACACTTAAATAAGTACTTTGGACCTTATTCAACAGGTCAGTGGTTTTCAACTTTTATCAAAGTGGGAGGAAGACAGTGGTGTAGGCAGGTGGAATCCCAGACCCCTCCAGGCCCTACTGACCACACCAGCACCATTTTTATCAGTTTCCACTACTGGTCTTACATATACGATTTTCCTTGAAAACAGAGATCAGGGTTTTGTTTGTTTGTTTGTTTGTTTGTTTTTGCTTAAAATAAAGTTTGACACCATAGCTAAAGCAAAAGTACAGTGGGGCCAAGACATCTAAACCCCAAGAAGCTGCTTCTGTCAACAGATTATTCAAAATATTGCAAAGCAGCTTAAAATAGTTGAGTACCATAGTGCACGTGGCATGAAGGAGGGCACGCAGACTAAATCAATACAGGAAAAATCTATAAACACCAGGTGATTAGAGGAGAGAGTTCCAACCCCTTCTGATTCTCAGAAAATTACTTTGTGTAGCTTTGCTGGAGACAAAGGAGCTGATGTTGCAGAAAGGAAATGGTTGCTGATAGTTTCAATGCCCTTCTGATTCTCAGCAGTTTTCTCACACTGAGTTGTCTGTCATGAGCCCCTTTTTGGCAGATCTGCTTAGAGTTCTGAAGTCTTGGTATTCTTAGTTTTCAGCGGGAACACACTGAAAGACCTCCATACTGGAGAACTCTTTTCTTTTGGGGTGAGTCACTGTGGAACAATAACCTTAGGAAGATCCATTCAGCACTGGCCAGCATAAAGCAAACCACAGGATTCCATCCCAGTTACCCAACGTCAGGATTGGAACTCAGACCAACTGTTGGTAGGGAGTGGGGTGACTTAAGGAAAGATTTATAGGAGAGTTAAAATGGAGAAATCTATAGAAAGCTGGAAGAGTATTTTTTTAATGTTTATGTTTATTTTTGAGAAAGAGAGAGAGAGAGAGAGAGAGAGTGAGGGAGGGAGGGGCAGAGAGAGACGGAGACACAGAATCTGAAGCAGGCTCCAAGCTCTGAACTGTCAGCACACAGCCTGATGCAGGGCTTGAACTCACAAACGGTGAGATCATGACCTGAGCCAAAGTCAGATGCTTAACCGACTGAGTCACCCAGGTGCCCAGCCTGAAGAGTGTTTTTAAATTTTCCAGTAAAACTAGAAATCAGGGGAGTCAGCAAAGACTCTAAATACGGCACAACGCAGCCTGGCATGCAACCAAGTGTGATCTCTGTACGGGGCCTTTGTATTTTGGCTCAACTGCTCATTATTTGAATGACCCTCCGCCAAGTTACTCAATCTCTTTGGGCTTCAGATGCTTATCTGTAAAATAGGGATCAAAACAGTGTCTACTCTGCATCACTGGGCATTGTATAAAACACTCAGAATAAAGGTAGGCATAGTACAGGCATATTTACCACATAAATGTTCACTGTTATTGCTATTATTATACATCATAGGTCTCCAAAGCCAACAATATAATAATATACTAAGTTCACCAAACCCACCATAAAAAAAAAATATTTTCCTATGTCCAAAGGAAAATTCCCCCTATAGAATTTATGGGGCTATGTGATCATCATGGTTCAAAGAATAAAGATAAAAGAAGATAATCTTACGGTGACCCTTTCTCTAGAGAGAAGGTCACCGGACTCCCTTAGCAGGGCTGGACTTTGAGGACCTGGACAGGTCAGAGGAGACCAGACTCTACCCACCATGCCTTGCTGAGCTTCTGGCCTGGCTGGCCGGGGTTCTCCTTCGGCCATACCTCCTCTTTCTTCAAATGTCTGTCTCTCAATTAATGTGGAAGGAAAAATGTAAATATTTCATAATTTTAAAAACAAAGATTCATGTCCCCTGTGGTCTACTTTAAAGCAGATTTACTAAATTTTTCCTAGGTTTCTCTCAAACGTGAACCACCCCCAAATGAATAAAGTTGCCTTGTTTTGCAGGATTCCTGAATTTTTTCTCCCACGGTGGGTCTAGGCCCTTCATTACCAAAAAAAAAAAAAAAAAAAAAAAAAAAAAAAAAAAAAAAAAAAAGTTCTCTACCCATAAAGTAAAGCACATCTTCACATTACCACATTTAATGCTCACATCGATCCCAGCTCAAGGGCAAGGGAGGGACTATTAGCACGCCAGGACAAGAATCCAGGCCTTTCAAGGTTTAAACCCAACTGACATTAGTGCTGCCATGAGGTTCTGAAAGCTAGGAACAATACTGCTGTTAAGAGAACAAGTTACAAGGGGCCCAACACGCATTGAAGGCTGAAGTACCCAGATCCTTTCTTACTTCTTTACTGCAGGAGCTCATGGAGTCTCCACAGCTCCCCTATGAAGAACACACTATTGTAATCCCCTTTCTAAGGCTCAGGGGGGACAGCTGCTTGGTTTAAAGCCAAGGGGGTAAACTATGT